AAGTCAGAGTCGATAAATATTTTTTACCTTCAGAATTTATTGGTAATTTCATCAAATTTTTGTCATGACCTTATGTTTGTTGATTTTCTTTTCAGATTTTCTCGACTCTTGCTCTTAGTGCTATTTGCTATGTATTAAGAGAGGTAATAATATAATCTAACATAAAATCGACTAAGTCGATTTTTTGAAAAATCGGCTGACTAAGCCGGCTAAGTCGATAAAAATCGACTATGCGAAATCGACTACAAACACTAACATCCGGGTCTATTAATATGAGAGAACTGTCGTGCCATATTAACAGTATTGGGAGATACCTAAGTTATGAATAATTTATTTAATACTATTATATTTTACATATTTGGAAACGTCCACAGCAAAAGCAGGTGATAGAACTATATATTATATAGTTCTATCACCTGCTTTTACTGTGAGTATCCCTATTTAATGATGACGAAACTCACTTTTAACTCATCCTTTATTTCCTGATACATGAATTTTTCAGCAATTATAGATAGTATATGCACTTTACCATTTGTTCCTTTAAGATTTATATTGTAACTATCACGAAAGCAGTCCCAAAATGCTTTAGTGGTTAGAGTTTGTGGCGATACATTTAGAATTCCATCCTCATATAAATTCTTAAGCGTAATACGGTCTTTTTCAGGGTTTGGTGTGTTTGTCCAAAATTCATTCTATATGTTGAGTTTTTTTTTTTTTTAGATTATTAACCTTTCAACTTATAATAATAAAATTTGAAACAAGTAAAAGCCTATCATTAGGCTTTCAATTATATTTTGTGTTCAGTTTGTTTTCTGAGTATCGTCTAAGGAAAATTTATCAATAGCATATTTTGTGACAAGTCATTACAAATATAATCGAAAGTCTGATGATATACTTTTTCTGGATGGAACTTAGAGAACAAGCCGGATGCAAAATATAATTGAAAACCCGATGACAGGTTTTCTTTTGATGGCACTTATATAATAGTTGCTCTCGTGAAATTACATAAGTATTGTTAAAGAAATTATATTTTAGATTTTGAGGATTTCAATTAGTAATATAATGCGCAATCAGGTAAGTCTGATAAATTATAACCTAAAAACCTAAGGTTCGCTTTTCTTCTAGTAGTACTTATTAAACTACTATTAATATAATAATTTCTTATTTATCAGAATTAGGTTGAAATAGCAATTTACCATATTTTATTATATAAACTACCTGGGGGGTTTTTTTTTTTTTACCTTAATTTAATTTCCAGTATTTTGTAAAGAAAAGAGGGATTTGTATTAAATCTAAAAATATAAATCTGAATCTCTTTACCTCAAACCAAATCTAGATATTAGGTCTGAGTTTACTATCATTAGGGTAGTTTATATAGTAAAATAGGTTAATGAAATTGAACTACATGTAAATAGATAATCTTAAAGCAATGCCACGAGATATCATATATTGTAACTTATATATATATTTTTTTTGATATTTACTTTAGAAATTTGTTTGCTATATAGAGTAATATCTGTGCACCCAGTTGCACAAAAAATTGCACGCCATGCCCGCACTTCACGTTCTCAGAATTCATGATTCAACCCATATATTTTACTAAAGTGGTTATGTAATTCAATTATATTGCTTTTTTGCTGTTTCCAATTTTGAAATACTTGGTGCCATTTTTTAGCAGATTTACTAACAGCTTTCTTTAAATGTAGATCAAATAAATGTTCCATAATCGCTTTATTGTTCCAATCCGCTAATGTATATTGATTAGATACTAATATTTGATTTGTTTGATATACTTGATCGAGTTTTTGTAAAGTTGTTGGGTGGTTTATAGCAAATAAAGTGTAGATTTTAGCACACCAGTTTGACACCAAACAGCGTTGGGTGAATTATCTGTATATTCTGCAACAATTTGACTATTTTGATAAACTATAATCGAATATGAATTATTTTTATTCACACTTTGAAAAAAAACTGATTGTTTCGATTTGTACTTATAAAACAATGAAGATGTATAATTGTATCCAATTGTTTTTTGATTTGAATGTGAGATTTTACCAAGAGAACTAACAAATATAGATAAATTTTCTACTTCAATAATAAAGGGATAAAAAACAACACCTTCTAGTAATTTTTGAGATGTTTCAGTTTGCTCTAAGCCCAAATATGAAAGGCCCGCAAACTTTGTTTTAGTGCCAAAAATGGCTTGGTAAACCAAGATAATTGCATTAGATGAACTTGTAACAATACCACTACTTTGTCCACCACCTTCACATATATAACCAGGCTGTAAATGACTATGTATATAACGAACTACATGAATAATAAAAGACATTTTATTAAGTTGTACCATAACCTCAAGTCCCAAACGTATTGGAATCGGAGATGGCACATTTTGACTTTCTTTAAAAAAAATCCACCAGTCACGTAAGTATGGACCGTAGTGAAGTTCTGGTACGATAGTACCAGTTACAACAAGTTTTCTGGGGGTTATATAAACATTTGTCATGGTAGATTCTTAAGGAAATAGAAATTTCAAATAAGCATTTTTTTATTAGTAATTATAGCGCCGTAATTTACTATATACTATCTATCGATCACATGCAGATCAGCAATTAAATTATATTGTAAAGATACTAAATATAGAACAGCTATTGATTTATTAGATAATATAATTCTTGCTACTGTGGATATTTATACAATTTTATTTAGATCTGGTTCATATATAAAATATATAAAAACAATTTTTAGAATTTAGATATTTGTATTAAAATATTTAGAAAAAATTATAATAAAGCTTTTTTAGCTTTTCATTTAGATATTTTTTATTAAACAGATAATAATTATTTTTTTAATGATATTATTAAAAGTTTTTTAATTTATTTTAATAATTATTATATAAAAAATATGTATAGCAGAATTAGAGCTTATATAACAAAATATTTTACTAAAGAAAAAATAGTTAGAAAAGTATTTGTTATAGATAAATTATTAAATATTTTAAATTTTTTTAATAATTATAATTTTTTAATATTATAAAATTAATTATTTATATAAATTTTACTACAAATAACTAGCAGTGATCATCATCACTCCTAGATATTTTTAGAGTTAAGGTGCAGATATTAAGAATTATCTTTTTTTTATATATAATATAATATAAAACTAATATAAAGTTTCAAATTTAGTTTTTGTAAAGTTTTTAGAGATTCTGAATATTTTTATTTAGAATACCCAATTCTGTTTACTTAGTATGTTTTTAAGATATAGGTACTCTAGTAATGGTTACTACTAGTTATAGTTAGTAATATTCTATTTATACATTATTATATTAGCAATATATTAGTATTTTAAATTTTTATTAAATAACTCTATGTAACTTCTAATTGTAGTATAAATCTGATTCCACCAATAGAATTTTTAATATCAATTTTCTTAATGTAGTTTTTACTGGTTATCAATTAGGTTAATAGTTAATAAGTTATTAAGATTTAAAGATATATGGGGTTGAGTCAATAGAAATCAAGTAAATATTTTTTAATAAGTTTTTTTAAAACTTTAAACAAGAATAACTTAACAAAAACTTGATCAAATTTAATAAATTT